GGCCCAACCTTATGGAAAGAGCCAGCAGCAAAGAAGAACACACAGAGTCGCTTACCAAGGGTTATGCTTCAAAGGAATCCTCGAAGAGAAGAGTAGGACTCATGACCCCCAGGCCTTAAGATAAGGTAAGCACTAAAAAGTTGATATTGTACTTATGTTCTGAATTAAAAGAAAAAAGATAGGTATTGTGGCATTTAAGTCTCCCGAAGTGTTTGCTTAGGCAGTTTTAACAAAGTGTCATATATGGAGGGCTAAAAGTCATGTATTTCTCGTAGCCCTAGAGGCTGAGAAGTTCAATGGTGAAGGACTAGTATTGACAACTGCTCTCTACTTCTTAATGTTCTCACATGGTAGAGAGAGGAGATGGGGGAAAGGAAGGAGAAATTCCCCTCTATTCTTTCCTCTGCATCAACTTCCTCATTCTCCTTTCTCCACTTCTTTATTTGCCCAACTACATCCACCCTGGGGATTGAGCACCAGGCTTCACAGTCAAGCACTGTGCCACTGAGCCAAAGCATCAGCTCTCTGGTCTCTTCTTGGAAAGGTGCTAATCCCATCAGGAGGATTCCTGTTCTCTTCTAATCATACCTAAAAGTAATCACACCTAAAGTTAATCACACCCCAAAGCACCTGCCTCCAAACACTGTGGGAGGCATTGGAGGTGTAGTTTCAGCACAACAACATCAAGGGAGCACAAACATCTAGACTATAATAGTGTGGATAAAAGCATCATCTTCTTCTTGGTTTCTTTCTGCTACCTATTTCACAAGGAGCCCAGTCACCTTGGCCTAAGTGCCTAGTGGTCCTTCCTCTTACTCTCTAGCCTAAGTAGTAACTTAGAGGCTGTAATTCATTGCTAATGATGGGATAAGCAAGGCTTTCTTCATAATAGAGATCAATAATGACTGAGGAAACAAGATATAAAGCAGACTAATGTCAGTGAAGTCATGTGCTCATTGTTGCTAGCTGACACTTACTGTATGTCATAGGGTATGAGCATACTTTTATGTCTTGTAAGCACATAACCAAATAATACCCATTGTATTTGATGCTGTTGTCTCCCCTCCTCTTCCCTAACCTCTTTCCTCTTTTATTGTTGTAGTTAATTATGACTAATAGTATAAAAACAATTACTTAATTATGCCCTCAATGGATGTAAACAACTTTATTATCTTTATCTCTCATGGATAATTTTTAGTTTAGAAATTTAAAGAATGTTAATTTAGAGAATGAATTCATGCTTGGTGTTTGGGGGTTTTATTAGGTAGCCCTACACAAAGAGAGGCAACTATGGAGTGTTGAGAATGGGAGAATCAGTCTTCCTTAGGGGAGATCATACCAAGTGGTTATCAAATACCAAACGATCATCCCTGAGAGCCTACATGTGAGTAGCTTACAGGCTGAGCAGGTTAAACACATGTGTATATAACATTCTTAATGAAGAAAGAAACTATGAATTTGAGAGAGGAAGGAGGAGGATGTGGAAGGGTTTGGAAGGAGGAAAAGGGAGGAAGAAATGAAGTAATTATATTATAATCTCAAAAATGAAAGGAAATAATTTAATAAATAAACAGAAGAAATAATAAAAGAGTGAACCTGGGTGACAAATGTTTGAAGAGGGAAGACCAAGGAAGAAGAGAGAGGGAAGAAGCAGGACAAACAGAGAAGAGGAAGCACCAGCCAGGAAATGGGGAGTGGGGTGGGGGCATGAGGTGGGAGGGACAGGAGTGAGACACAGATGGGCAAGAGAAGAAAGCTAGATTACAATTCCCTGCATTCTAGGCCCTCCACCCACATCTCCACCCACATGTCCGGTAGGTAAAAAGGGAGAGATTTTTAACTTCCAATTAATGTTAAAAGGAAGTTGAAATTAAGAAATAGTAAAGGATCATTTACGAAACATTTCTGTTAAAAAGTTTAGTGGGTTAGTCATTTTTCTGTGTCTCTGACAAAAAAAAAATTCCTAACAGGATCAATTTAAGGGAGGAATTTTTTTCCTTTGAGTCACAGCATTAGAGAGCTGCAATCCAGCTTGATGTGCATCTACTGAAGCAGAGGATTGCCAGTTGGTCACATTTTGGGTGACCAGAAAGAAGGAAGATGGGTGTGGCAGCAGAGCCAAGCTAAACCCTGAAAGGTCCACCCACAGTGACCCACCTCCACCTTTCAGGCCCAACAACCTCTGCCAAGAGTGACACAAATAGGGGCCACTTAGGAGTCAAACCATAATGCCACCTATCCTTGTCAAAGAGAAAAAATACCACATATAAACCATCATTTTATTTGTTGGTAATAAGCTTTTCTCCAGACAGCAGATGGAGGCCAGACTACTACAGGAAGCAACAATAGATCAAACCAAACAGGATCATTTCCCCTGAAGTTCCAAGATGCTAAACTGAATATTCATCTGGAGATCAGAAAAATCAGGAGAAGGGTGACAGCCAAATATCCAGAGGCATTTTTAAGTCATCATAAGAAAATCCCTTCTGCCTTAACCCCCACAATAAAAGCAAACTCAAGCAGCTTGCTGCTAATTAACCAACTTCACAATATCAGCTGCAAGCCCTACAGATCATGGGCATTTATTGTCTTCCCAAGACACTCTTTCTTAATCTCTTTTGTTGTATTTTCATACATAATGTAGTCTCAGAAATTGCTGCAGTGTGTGTTTGTGTGTGTGTTTCTAATTTTTCTCTAGCTGCTTCTTTGGATTATCGACTTCATGTTCCATGTAATTTCAGGATTATCTACCAATTTCTGTTCCTATGAAGCCCATTCATAAGGTTCCCAAACATAACCCTCCAGCTATGACCTCTCTTCCAAAATCCAAACATGGACATATAACCCACAAATTGAATATTGCTTTGTACATCTCAATGGGTGTTTTGAACTTGTCCAAATATGCATGTTCCAAACTAATCTTTGTCTCTGAGGCCAAGTACTGCAGGCTGATAAAATTTCCATGACTCCATTTTCCACTTCTTCTGTCTCTATGGGGCTATTGGAAGCTAAACCTTATAACTAGAAGCATCTAACTAGAAGCATCTGTGCCGTGAATTCTGAGTGGTGAGACGTAAACCAGCATCTCTCTGTGTCCTTCTTCCTCTTATTCCTTCCTCATGGCAGGAGCTGGCTATGAAATAGAACACAGCCACTCTGCAGAGGGGAGAGAGAAGACACATTACAGAAAGGACCTGGCTGTTGCTGTGCAGCGTCATTGAGCTGATGGCTTCATGATGCTGACATGCTAACTGCTGACTGCCTGACTGCCTAACTCTAGTCTCTTGGATACAGGAAATAAATGAAATTGTTAAGTGTCTCAGGCAGTATGGTCTTGTTCTTAGCTGTTGATATAATAAGCAAAGCACTCTACTCTATCCCTAGTGGCGGTAGCCTCCTATCCTGCTCTCTCCTGTGGTCTGCACATCTCAGTAAAGTACTTCACCATTGCCCTGGTCAGAAAGAAGGTGGCTCTTCCAGGTCCTTTTTATCAAAGCCTCCAATCTTACCTCTCCCGTACCAAACACACACCCTGAGTTCATCCGGAAATCTTATGCCGTTTCTTCAGAAACAGGACAGTATTATCAATGCATCTCTGTCAAAGATCTATTAAACTACCCCTACAGTTCACTTGCTTCTTCCCAGTCATTTCTTACCTCAGACACTCCTCTGAAACTACAGGTGTTTTATGTCACATCTCTGTTAAAACCCTTTATTAATCCAGTTGTACCCAGAACAGATCGAAGCTACACCTATAACAGGGTCAGAGCCATTCGCCAATAAGTCTCATGATCTGTTGTGTTTTCACTACCTGCGTCAGGCGCTTCTTCACCCCCTGTCCACCATGCAGCTCGGGTCACATGCTTTCCTTATGTTATGAGATCACCATGAACTCCTCCATGTATTTCTGACATTTTGGCCCACCCTCACACCTCTGCACATCATATTTGCATGGGCAGCCCCTTTTCACCCTTAGTTCTCAGCTTAAGAGAGTTCTAAACGACCTCCATTGACCATTTTATTACATTAAACCCTCTTTTCTATTTTACCTCACTTCTCTAAAAATAAATTTCCTTTATTTCTCTCTTCCTTTCTTTTATTCTCTCTTCAAAGCACTCACTATCATCCTTACATCTGGATAATTTGGAGTCTACTTTGGGTAAAGAAGGTTTTTCAGTTTAACAGAAAGAATATAATATACATAACTGAGCAGGTACTGGCAGAACACACACGCATACACATACACACACACATACACATACACGGTAGGGTGGAGAACTAGATGGAACACTGAGGCATCACAGAGATACTAACTTCAGATGTTTATAGCCTTGGAACTAAAGATCTGAGTTTCAGAGGCCGGCAGAGCTGGTACCTAGAACTCAGAATGGCTCTTGTCCCCTGATCACACACAGGGAGGATCTGAGAGCTGGCCCAGTGGGTCTAAGAAAGGATGCTGTCTAGCTGGTGCAGACATCCACGAAAGAGAGGGATAAGGCTAGGAAAAATTGGCGATGCTAGAGTCAATCGCATGCTGCAGAGAGGACGAGAAGGAGCGAATTCCCTTTGACTCCTGTTCCTCTGAAAACTTCTTGTCAGCAAAGCTCAGTAAGATTCACCTGGAGAGAGTATCAGTGTGCAGGGTACCTGGCTAAGTAGTACAGAACATTGTATAAAGCCTATCTTTAAAGATGCGGAGCCCATAGTTTCATAATGGACACAGTATTTGTCTATTGCCTTTTCTTTCTGTATAGAAAATACATACTCAAAATTTGTCTCCCTCCCTCTCACACTCTCCATGTCTCTCTGTCTCTTTCTTTCTTTCTCTCTCTCTCTCTTTCTTTCTTTCTTTCTTTCTTTCTTTCTTTCTTTCTTCCGTGGCTTGCTTGTGACAATTCCTCTCCTCATCCCCCAACTGCCCAGTACAATAACAAGTATATGTATTATAATAAGTAGATAGAAAACATTCAATAAATATTCATTAGATAGATTTGGAATCAGTAAATTTATTAATTTTCTTCCAAACTACTTAACAAAATGCAGGGTACAGTTTTCGTCAATTAATCGAACTTTTTAAATTTCTCATGTAATTTCTTTGGGGCTAAAAGGAGGACAGTTCCTTTCTACTTGGTTGCAATGGAAGATGTTCTTGTATTATATTAGTAATAAGATGCATAGCAAATGTTCATATCCTTAAATTCTCAAATAGTTGAACAGGCAGTAAAATCTACAGAAAATTGGAAACTAAAAAAAGGGAAGGCAGTTTTAGCATGATTCAGAGGATGTTGGAAGAAGTTATAATCTGAGACAGGCTTCAGAATGTAGACAAGCAATGCCATGGAGTAGGGAGAAGGGCCTGGAAGCTTTAGGATGGCTTTGATGCAAGCAGTGAAACACGGGATAGGAGAAATCACTGGGAAAGGGAGTAGTAACTGAAAACACAATGACTTCTGGGCTCAGGGTTTGGGCTTTATGACTTTTGCAAACAGGACACAAGATTATTTTTTTGTCAAAAGAATGGTATGACAATCTAGGATGTTTCCTGAAGGTCAGTTTGCTGCATCATAGGTTGTTGGTTGAATGGACATAATACAGAAGAGCTGCCTAGAGACGTGCCTCCCTGGTTGAGCACTTACCTGGTGTGTGAAAAGCTGTGGGTGAGCCTCTCATCACAGCAAAACAAAAGCAGAAGGATGAGCTGCTAGGAGACTGTGGCAATAACACTGAGCCTCAAAGATAAGAGAAGGAGTGAAGGGAAGCTGTACTGGCAAATATCTAAAGAAAAGAATTAATATAGTACAGCATAGACTTAATCCAAAGCAGAGGGGGATTCTAGAACTTGTCCACAGTGGTTCTCTTAGTGAGGATTTATACGGGTGGAGATAGAAAAGAGACCACCGATTTCATCAGAATAATTTGGTGATGGTGACACCAGTCCACCCAGAGGCCCGGTGATCGTTTTACCCAAAGCAATGAGTCTCCACCACTGAAAAGCTAGTAGGAATCTGGAAGGATGTATATGTCTTCATCTTGAGGAGCAGGAGGAGGAGGGCTAGGCTTCTGGAAATTATAATAGAGGGCATCTGTTTGATTCCCGTAGACATGCTCCTCGAGATTGCATGGCTTCGTGTTTTCATACAGCGCCTTCTCGGTTGCCACTTTGATGTCGGGAGGAACCACTTCTACATTTTCATACTCACCATGCATCCTATTTCTCTTGGCAGAAGACTTGTGGCCTTTGATTTCCACTGGGGTTTTAGAGCTTGGGCAAATCATGTGGGCATTCAAGTCAAGGGATTTTGTGAAGTCTTTATGTCTGCTACTTCTCCTTTGCATAAACTTCGGTAAGGTAAATGTTGTGGCTTCCTGGCGCTTCCAGTGCCAAACACATCCAATTCCACAGGCCAGCAAGAGTACAAGGAGGGAAATGCCGACAACCACACCAATCCAAGAGCTCCCAAAGCTCCTCAGCATTTCAGCACAGTGTTGTTCAGCGTCTCGATGCGGCCAGAAAACTCACAGGCACAAGCGGATGCAATTTTTGGTAGCCTGTTGTGGCTCTTTTAGGCATTTCTTTTCCAAACTCGAAAGGACTTTACGTGGTGAAGTCCTGATGCAACTGGAGGAGAGACTGTTTGCATCACCGTTTCTCAGCACCGGAGCTCTACCAGGGGGGATTTTATTCCTCTCCACTTCCTTTTCTTTCAGTTAATCACAAAATGAAGCAGAGAACAACAGTGCAGTAGAAACCTCAAGAAAGGGGAGGTTGGGGAATCCACCATCCAGAAACCTGCTGTAAATTAAAAATATATTAACGGTATACTTAGTACCTGGTGAGATTATAAATTTTCTTTATCTACCAAATGTGTGAAACATCACCATATTGTCAGTCCTGGCTTTTAATGTTGAGCATAACATGAGCCATTTTGAGAAGAGAGTGAAGAATCCTGCCACCCCCCCAAGTTTTTGATGAATATGGTCAAAGGTTTTCAGGTGAAATATAAGATTCTTTGGAATTAGGAGCAACATGGAATAACAATCCATGTGTTTTCAGGCCATTGTTTCCTGTGAAGCCTTGTTATCCGTCTTCAGAGGGGACAGAGGCTGTGTCATCTCCCTGGTCACTCCCTGTAGAGTCCACATTAACTAGCCAATTCTCTATCATAGCTTGGTACTCTAGATTCAAGGGGATTGTGTCTTCCTACCTGGTTCAAAGGTGAGCAGGTACCAGCTCCTTACATCTTTAGATTCCTAGAGAGAATCAGCACACCTAGCACAGAAAATGAATTCCATCAGTATTTATTTGAATGAAAGAGGGCATTTTTAAGTGACTCCAAAATTTATCAACTAAATTGCTTGCACTGACACTTTAAGATGCATGTTATGGACTTTAAAGGGTGTATAGACTGCTAAATTTTAAGAGATCTATTAAGTAATGCAAAGTATCTTTGCAAAATTATTAATTACAAATTTTCTTGTAGCAAATCATTTTCATTTAATTAAGGTGATGTTTGAAGTGTTCTGTCAAAACTTAAAGTATCAAGTATAGAAATACAAAGTATTCCACCAGGCAGAATTTTCTCCTGTGATTTTATCAACAAAGAATTCTTATTATACATTTCAGGTTAGACATAGGAATAGTTGACAGTCAATATTTTCAATAGTGTTTGCAATATTTTTACCATTGTCTACCGAGCATCATCATCAATCATATTTAATTAGGAACATATTTTTGGTCAGCTCCCAAGCACTTTTGTGTGGATTGTCTAATTTAACCATACAGCTCTAGGGTTAAATGAGACTCTACATAACTCCCTAACAGCTAGTTAGTTTTATTCATCTCCCAGCCACCAGGACTAGTACTAAACATGAGAGAGCTAATATACTAAATATCTACTGATGGATGGAATGATCCATTCACAGGCACAATAACAACAGTGAGCAGGAAAAAAGGAACTTACAAAGTATTTTCCTACCCTCAGTGAGTGCGCATTTCTAATGATGACTTTCAATAAATATCCTTAAGTTCCGATTATATCAATGCCCAAATTCTCCATTTTACAATTTTATGTCAACAGAAGGAATATATGTGCAGCTTATTTATAAACTCTGTTGAATAACAACTTAGGGATAAACACCACCAGTCCAGATATCTCTCAGTTTCCTTGGGGCTTTGGGAAGGAGTAAATTTGGGGATAAGCATAATATTATGTAGTCATCATGTAATATTTACAGTCTGAGCTGTTCATGGTGGCTCATGCCTGTGTAATCCCAGTACAGGGAAGAGAAGGCTAGCCTAGGACACAAAATGAGACCCCTTGTCAAAACAAAAATGAAAACAACAAACTTTGCAGCTAGAGAAAGGCAGCATAAGAGAATGGCAGTAGTCAGTAGGAGTGAGCAAATACGAGCAAGATACAATGATACAGGTATGAAAGTGTCATAATAAAACCATTAGTATGTATATTAACTTAAAATTAATAAAAGATAAAGCTATGGTCTATGGAGTCCTTCCACTCTTACAAGGGCAGATACCATGCAAAGGCTAAGGACAAACATTTGTCAAATGGCTTCTACAAATAGTTCCCTTTATGGGCAGATGAGAACGAATCTTATTATTTTGTAGCACAAATAATTACATTCATACTCACCATGATGTTTGGGGTGCATTTCCAGAATAAATTTCAAATATTGAGTGGAATGAATTATAAGTTTTTAGGAAGGCACTAAAGAGAAGGGAAGTGGGTTTCCTGCACGGCTAGCTGCTGTCCTGTAGGCAGTTGAAATGAAGCCAGAGGGTCCCTCTTAGAGTTGAAAGAATTCATTTTTAACATTTATTTTAATGCTATGCAGATCAGATAACTCAGCACATCCTTAATATAAAAATCACACACAGAAAATTCACTGAGAAATAGAACAACCAAACAAACACATCCTATCCCTATCATCAATCTAACTTTATAGGAGAAAAATCTGTGTGGTACAAAAAAGACCAGCAATGAGAAACATATTTCAAATAATAAACTGTCCTAGCAAAACACCTGCATAAAGTTCACTTTGCACAGCCTAGAAGCTCTTTTCACTTTGGAAAGCAGCTGTTTCCACAACTGACTAGTAATTATTCACTTGTCTGCAAATCACAAATTCTTTATAGAGTAGACCTTGCGAAGAAGACAGCGTATTTCTGTCAGGAAGCAGGGCAGGTACACAGAAGAGCTGGAAAGCCTTGCAGGTTGCGAGAGGCACCAACCTCACCCACAACCTGCGAATTGCTTTCCCCGCTATGACTAAGGCAGACTTTATCCTTTAAAAAAGTGTTTTTTGACATAGCAAAACATCACTAATTGATTAAAGGCAAATCTGTTTCTTACCTCTTTTCCTTACCCAAACACTTTAAATCGTGTTCTGACTCACTTAAAGCCTGGGAGTACCAGGCTCTCTGTCACCTTCATCATACTTGCTTGGGCTGAGAACTGTTCCTCTTTTCATTCTGGTCAGTTACTTCCTTCTTCGTCTCCTCCTTTCAGGTTATTTAATACTTACAAGGTTTCCTGGTTCTTGAGGAAGTTGTTATCAGATACTGCAGAATTATAAATGGCCATCCCTCTTTATAGGTAGAACTTTTTAAAGTGTATATTAAGTCAACACATTAAGCCTGGGTGATATTTCTTTTTTGTACAATAAAATGCTCAGTTTAGAATCAGTCATGAACTTCATTTTTTAAAGAGGCTTTAAAAACTCATACTAACACACAAATTTGAGTATTTTTGTTTGGTTTGTGATTGGTAGAACAATCCTCATTTAAATATGAAGCTATAGTGATACCCCAAGAAACATCCACACTTGCTGAAGTAGCCTCCTGAGTTTGGTCATAATGTATTTTTATTATTGTTATTATTATTACATTCATTAACTAGGAGTTTCCCAAAGAATGTCCTGAGGCACGCTACTCTGGGATATGACATGGAGGTAAATTTGCAAAGTATCTTTTTGTTAAGAGACTCACAGGCACATCAGGAAATTACAGATTACAGGCAGTCTGATAAGAAGCAAACAAATTACAGGCAGCAAGAAAGAAAAAAAAAATCGTTGTATTGTTCCTAGTAACGGCATTCCGAGCACTGGGTATCCTAAGACTTTAGTGCAATACCCAGCAAACCCACCAAGAAGAAACACCACAATTAATCCTAGTTTATACACAAGCAGAGACTCAGCAGATAAAATGTCTGCTCTCCAGTGCCACTGCCCCAGTGCCTGTGAGCAGAGCCTCTACATGTCACCCTATACAATGGTTTTAATGCCATGTTTCTCCAGTCATTTGGATAGAGTGGGTTTCTTTCACTGGCTCTGGTTCGAGGGTCAGGGTGGGTTTATTTCACTAGCGCTTTTACCTTACAGTTTCCACATAGAACCTTTCTGTGTTATTACCCCTAAGAGCAGTTTTGTGGAATACAAAAATAAGAACTGACAAATTAGCCGGGCGGTGGTGGCGCACGCCTTTAATCCCAGCACCCGGGAGGCAGAGGCAGGCGGATCTCTGTGAGTTCGAGGCCAGGCTGGACCGACAGCCTCCAAAACAATACAGAGAAACCCTGTCTCGTAAAACCAAAAAAAAAAAAAAAAAAGAACTGCCAAATTAAACAGATAATCAGTGAGTTAAATAAGCAATCTCGAAATAGTCACAGAAATATTGCCTTTTAAGTTACACCAAAAGCCTTCATGCAAACCTTGTGTAAACTTGTTTACAAGAAGAGGGCTGCTGGGGATATAGATTAGTGGTAGAGCACTTGGTTAGTGTGTGCAAAGTTCTACGTTTAGTTGCCAGCAGTGGAAAACAAACAAAGAAAACCAAACCCCGCTGGACTTCATTCTTCACGTGGTAGTCTGACGCTGAGAGAGCTACGCTGTCATCAGTGTACGCTGAACAGTGTCATTTCTCTGAGCTACAGGATGCAGCAGTGAATACTCTCCCGGCGGCATCTGGAGATGAGCAGAAGAAGAAGCAACTGGACCCACAGATCATTTCAGACCTAGGAAGGAAAGCAAAGACATGCACAGTTCTGGAGAGCAACCGGGATCAGGAAAACAGGCATGAAGCTCAGGGTGGGCAGGAAATGCAGTCTGAAACAAACAAGAGTGACCCAGCCAATACCGGAGACTGGGTAGTGAAACTATGAGCTGCACGTGTGTGCTCCACTCTCTCCTAGTGCTCTTGAAGGCAGTTAGGTACTAAATGTCCTTTGATGTCACACACACATGTACACACACACTCACAAGTGTATGTGTGTGTGTGTGCAAGCATGCGCAAGCACAATACATTTGTATAAATTTATGTCATCTCTTCTAAAAGTGAAACTAAGGAAAATTAACTCCTATTACTGTAAATTTATTAAGGACAAATAAATCAGAGAGCTATCACCGGCCACTTACCTCAAACAGAGATTATTTTTAAGTAATAAAATTAATCTTTAGGATTATGGGAGAAACACTGTGTGTGCCCAAACTTGAATTGTTGTATAATTACAACAATTTTTATGGTTTATGTATTATGTTTTAAACTGTGTGTTTTCTTACTTCCCAATATTTAATATAGCACAATTCATCTTGTTTTCTTCCCAAACTTTTTTTCTTTTAACCACAACAGTGATGTTTGGGTTTCTTTTGTTCATTTTCTTTTTCTACTACTCTATGGTTTGGGTAGCAAAGATCTTGGGAGGTAGTTTGCTGCCCTGGCATATAATTTAGACTGCAAAATTAATTCAAATACATTTTCCCCCTACAGATTGATGGTAACAATTTCTGTTGTGTCAAATATTTATTTGATTTAGCAATGGGGTTTTTAATGCTTGGACTGAGTTGCATTAATGAGGGTAGACATGGGCAAATAATTGTGTATGTAAATTCTATTTGAAAGTTTATTATACTCATTGATATTCTATAAAGAATCCAAAGGTGTCATGTTATTTGCTGCATATAGTACAGGAATCTACATCTTAAAATAAGGCTGGAATGGTAGTATATTTAGACAGCAAATTATTTCTCCAGAAAAGGGAGAATAAAGCATTGTGAATTCATAAACAGTCAGCCGCAAAATAAGCAAACTACTAATCTGTGCAGCATTGAGAATGACTATCAAACTGTGGAATTAATGAAGCCACATGCAAGGAGTGTGTTCTGTATGACCCCATTTATATGAAGTCCCAAACATATACAACTATCCACAAAGGCGCGATGGTAGGAGTCAGAAGTGCTGAAGGCTCTGTAGCCTTGGAAGCACGTGGAAGAACTTCCCTAAAGGTACTGTGTATTGTCATCTTCATGGTGGTTAATTGAGCATAGAAGATTGTGTACCTTACACGTAAGATTATGTTTTTATATAAAAGACAATTGTTTATATACACATATATAATTGTTTCTTTATATATACATATATATGAAATAAATAGGAAAGAAGTTTCAATAGGAATGAAATTTAGGACAATTTAGATGTGTTTTTAATTTGGTTATTGTATTTTTTGGACAAAGCACTCTAAGTATTCCTCCTAGAATGGAGGAATACTTAGAAAAGTTGTCAGTAAACTTTGAAGGAGGTGGATTCAAATTTATGCAGACCTTATTGAGTCTAGGGGTTGGTGAGTCTGTGTGGGTGAGGAAGATGGGAGTCTGATGACTTGAACCTCAGGTCAAAGCAAAGTTGTCTACTTTCTTGTTGATACAGGTAGCTTGATTATCTCACACTTTCTATTCCCCCAAATTCATGTATAACCAAAAACCACAAAGCCATCTAATAATGTAACCTAAAAAAATAGGATCATAGGTAAAAAAACACCACTCTGAATCTTGCTTTGTTCAACCTTAAGAAAACAAAGGATGCCAGGATCCCTGGGTTTCCTTCACATACGACTGAGTTCAAATGAACTGCATCAATACGACGGCCATGATAGTGAGACACTGCTTTGTCGACAATATACTTCCTTCCAGTCCAGCTCCTTTTCTTCATGTCTTTCCTCACTGTTATCAGATCAGATAACGGGACTTGAGGCTTGCTTCAACTTCAGTTGAACAACACTCCCTCTTCTTCCCCATTCTTCCCCCTTTCACTCTTTGTCACCAAAAGAAATGAACACTGAAAAGTTAGGTAGCCATTGCATTTGAAGGGAAACCAAACCACTTCACTCCCCCACGAATGAAGCGATGCTCTGGGAAGTTGGGCATCTCTTAAAGCAGACATCCCTCACTCCAGACTGGGTGTAACTTTCTCAAGTCATGTAATCACATACGATCTCAGCAGCTTTGTGTTCATCTGAGGAGATTACTTCAACTAGTTCTAACAACAGACTCCAAAGTACTCACTGTTTGATTATGACAATTTCTTGGGGGAAATGTTGAGAATAATGTATTCTCAGGATTTTTAAGTAACTGGCCATATTTTGAGATTGTGCAAAGCGGCCAGGCTGAAGTGGGGATCATCTGGGTTCATGGAGACTTGTTCCTGTGAACACTGTCAATCACTCCCTCCACTTCAAACTTAGTAGAAGGATGGGATTGGCTTGCCAGTTTCTCCAAGGTGGACAGCACTGTGAGTCCATGTCTTACCTGTACATTGATTCTGAGAAAGAAATCTAGGCAGGGAGACAGCTTTAATTGCTTGTGATCTGCTCTCTATTCCACTCCCCCAGTCCCCAAAACAGTGATGCCCTGTAAAACTCTAGTCTCTCAAAAGAATACAAGATGACAGAATCAAAACAAATATACTAACAGATCTTGGGGGCTGAGAAGTGGGGAATCCTGGTAACTAGGAGATATGTTGTTGTTCCTTCTGTGGGAAACATGCTTTGGAAGCCAATTCCTCCTCAGATGAATGTCAGTGAACTAGTTCCCAGACAAGACCAATAGTGAGGACCAGGCAAGGGTCATATAGTCTTGGGTGAACTAGAGGCATTCCCACTAAACCTGCTTTTCTTCCATATAGACTGCAGCTCTCTTTAGCTTTGTAAGCAAGAGCTTAGACTGAATTCAAAGGGATCCTTTTCAACAGAAACTTCCATGACCATATGTTATTATTTTCTTAGAATTTTAAGTTTGTCTACCACTGTCCTCAAAATTTTTACCTTTTTCTAACATTAGCCATCTTGGAGCAGTTATTGAATGACAGATATCTATCTCAGTTTTCATGTAACTTGACTGGCATTGTAGATTAACACACACACACACACACACACACACACACACACACACACAACTCTGAATCGCACAGGTAATTAGCTCTCGGTCTTTACTAAAATCTTCCAAGGCAATTTTAACACGATGAATGTTTAGGTTCTCACTGTGCAGGTAAAGTGAAGTCCTTGAGGGTGCTCTCAAGCCCTAGCACCTAAAAGTGTTCCCTTGAGTCCTTAGAAGTCCTCAGTAGGCCTGAGTCATTCTCAGGCTTTCTTTAAACAGGTCCCACCTCTGTGTATCATCTTGAGTAAACCACTT